AGGGAAAGGGACCGAGGAGGGAGGAAGAGATCCCCGCCTCCTGGTACCTGCAGCTGCTGCTGCTGAGGCGGCGATGGCCGCCGTGCTGCTGCTGCTGAGGCGGCGATGGCCGCCGTGCTGCTGCTGCTGTCCTCGCTCGCTGCTGCCGCTGCGCTAGGTCGCTCTGCTGCTGTCCTTCGCTCCTGCGCTAGGAATAGCGCTCAAACGGCGCTCTGGCGCCGACCTTACCGCACCGCGTAGAATACCGGTGGGTCGATGCCTCGAAGTGAGGCCGGACCAGTACTAAGTACTGGTTCGAAGAGGACCGGCCTCACTGCTGCGAGGCCTTGGTTGGGGCTGAACCGTCCAGATCGACGATTCAGGTCCAACCGGAGAGCGGCAGCCTCAAACAGCGCCGTCAGGCCCAGAGACGAAATGTCATTTGGGCCTGGTCCGTAGTCGGGTCCAAGTCGTGGCCTTTCGGCCTGTTATCCCCCAAGGTCGGGCCTTTAGGCCCTGATGTGTCCCTCTAGCCCTAAGTCGGGTCCGGTAGGACCCGTGTGGCGTCGAAGATGTAACATTACAACTCGAAAGATCTCAAAATGCGGCGATCAATTCCTATTTTCGTGGATCTAGCAAAGGATGTCAAAAACAATTTGAATGTCAAGTGAATTTACTTCAGAAAAAAGAAGTTTGAAATTTCAACCAAGAAAAATCCAGACTCTCTCCTCCCTCCATTGTTGTCCACCTTCCCCCTCCTTGTCCTTTGTCGTCGTTTCTCCTCCTCGTTGCATCCTTCCTTCTGTTCCATCCATTCTCATCATCTACTCCTGTTTCCTCCATCATCGCCCTCATCCTTTCTTCTCTTCACCGTCCATGATCGTTCCTGGGTCGTCATCGTTCTCGGGAGGTACAGAGAGAGAGAGAACACTCACTTCCGCTCTCCTCCCTCCATTGCGCTCGCCCTCCTTTCTCCACCTTGAGAGTGGCTTTTGGACGGGAACGTGGCAACAATGGAGGATTGCAGGCTGGAGTGGAAAAAGTGGGATCCGACATGACAAGCAGCCTGTAACCCACTTTGGAATCGCAGCAAAGAGGATATGCCTAAGAAGTTTCAGGTGAAGGCAAGCTGACAGTTAATCCTGCTCCACAGGAGCAATGAATGCTGATCAGGGTTCCTTCAGCCATATGAAAGGAAGTGTTGCATGTGTGCCTTGATTTAATCTTTCATTGACTTGCCGGGGCAACAGTAACCAGACTGAATGCTCCCTGGAATAGACAGGAGCCATAAGGTCCGAAGCTGCAAAAGGCCTAGTTGTTCAGTGTAATTTCTCATGATATCGGTTCTTTGTTGTTGTACTTGCTGCTGTTCTGGTACTGGCACTGATATGAAAAACCCAAGGGTGTCAGCATTGCTGGCCCTGTTGGCATTGGAGTTCATATCTTGTACTCTACTGACCTCAGCTGCGTTTGTGCAGGTGGTGGTGTTCACGGCAAGCTTGGCAAAGTATGCAGACCCACTTCTCGACCTCTTGGACTCCCAATCGGTGGTGCGTGCACGCCTGTTTCGCGACTCGTGTTGTCCATATGAGGGCAATTACGTCAAGGATCTATCAGTGCTGGGGCGTGACCTTCACAGTGTTATCATCATCGACAACTCTCCGCATTCCTATGTCTTCCACCCTGAGAATGCTGTCCCAATATCCACGTTTATTGATGATCCTAATGATCAGGAACTCATCGAACTCATACCATACCTCAATGCCATTGCAGAAGTTGACGATGTCCGGCTTGTGTTGGCGCACTTTCATAATGACAGATAACCTGGAAAGCCTGAAGCCAGAATGAGGGGAAAGGGACACTCCAAAGTTCACTGAACCTGCGATGGATGCTTAACATCCATGATTCACCTTCAATTCAGTCAAGAGGCTGTGCAGTCTCGCTCTGAAATGAAAGTTCGTTATTTCGAGTTATGGTTGGTAATGGGAATGGTGATCAGCAGGCGGGTCGTTTTTTTTTTTTCTTCTGGAAGAGTTGAAAGGGCCTTTGCCATATTGTGTTTGTGATCACTGTTTCTTCTGAATGACAGTTTTGGAAGTACTGTTGATGCATCAGCAGGGCTCTCTATCCTTTTTCTTGTATATATCACTGACTCTTGAAGCACAGATTCGAATCGCATGTTTTCACCCCTTCCAAGATACCAGTTGTCTGATGCATGTATGATTTTATTTTTTTTAAAGTAAACACCCAAGCGGGAGCTAGGCATGCTGATAAGAGCAGGCACGACGAGCACCGCCGGGGAGGCTCCATCTATTGGTGGGGAGCGGCACCTGCTGGAAATCGGGTTCAGCGTCCCAGAACATTGTGGATGTTTGTGTGTACATACGTGCAATTGTAAATGACAGCAATCTCACCTACTAAGAATGAGATGTGGCAGGAAGAAGTACCCAGCAGACTGAGCTGCTTGCCTCCATGACAACCCATGATGAGGGATGGTATGCATCGGTATCGTGACTGCTGCTAGAAGGACAGACATGCATTTGTACAAACAGTAATCCGCCAGGCTCACCTATGAAGTTTGGCAGGTAGACCTACACAACAGTCTAAGTTACTTTCGTACATGACAGCCTATGGTAAGTGATAGTATACACAGGTCGACCAACAGCCTATCATTGTTGTAGGTGTCTGATCAAGTGTTGCTGAAGCCTGGTCCCATTCGTGGACTCCCGCACGTCCCGTTTCCCCGCCTCCACCTCTTGTTGTACAGATTGCCACCTTGTCTTTGCCTGCTCTGCTCGGCATCATCCTTGTCCCTTTGTATCTGTTGATCCCCGAGCTGCGGTTGTCCACTCAGGCAGCGGTGTTTGGATGAGAGGGGAGGAGGGGGGAGGAGTGAGGGAGTGGGGGAGGCTTTGCCTTACACGAGGTTCAGAGTTAGTTCGGAGGGGCCGAGATCAGCACGAAGTTGGTTTGAAGGTATGGGACTTAGTCTCCCAATGGTCTTCTTTGCACGGCTGGGCCAGCAACCAGGCGGATCACCTGCCCCGGTCCAGGGGGGGGGGAACCGGCAAAACCGGATGCCCCAAAAGAATGCCCAATTTTGTTATTTTTTTTAAAATGATTGCGGCATCCGACTGCGCTCGCTGAGATATGTCGGATTCCGCAATAAAACTTGCAAAGTCAGGAATTTCATTTTGAGGGGGGGGGGGGGGGGTATGGCGCAGGGTGCGTTTCATGGCAGGGCTCGAGATCAGCACGAAGTTGGTTTGGAGGTATGGGACTTAGTCTCCCAATGGTCTTCTTTGCAGGGCTGGGCCAGCAACCAGGCGGATCACCTGCCCCGGTCCGGGGGGGAGGAACCGGCAAAACCGGATGCCCCAAAAAAATGCCCAAATTTTTTTTTTTTTTTTTTAATGATTGCGGCATCCGACTGCGCTCGCTGAGATATGTCGGATTCCGCAATAAAACTTGCAAAGTCAGGAATTTCATTTTGAGGGGGGGGGGGGGGGGTATGGCGCAGGGTGCGTTTCATGGCAGGGCTCGAGATCAGCACGAAGTTGGTTTGGAGGTATGGGACTTAGTCTCCCAATGGTCTTCTTTGCAGGGCTGGGCCAGCAACCAGGCGGATCACCTGCCCCGGTCCGGGGGGGAGGAACCGGCAAAACCGGATGCCCCAAAAAAATGCCCAAATTTTTTTTTTTTTTTTTTATGATTGCGGCATCCGACTGCGCTCGCTGAGATATGTCGGATTCCGCAATAAAACTTGCAAAGTCAGGAATTTCATTTTGAGCGGGGGGGGGAGGGGGGGGACGTTTTCCTGTCTCTTATACACATCTAGATGTGTATAAGAGACAGCTCTATCTCTGTCTCTCACACACACACACACACACACACACACACACATTCGGAATCCCTTTCACTCATCTCCTCGTCGGGCAAGTACGCATTGCCCTCATCCGAGTCGGGGTCATCCTCCTCCACTCGCAATTTGCGGGCCCTGCCGGGACACTTTTTTTTTGTTCTTTTTGCAGAAGCATCCCCCGACTCAGCCTTGCGGGGCCTCCCACGACCACAACGCGGCTTTTCGGGGTGTTCGTCGACCGAAGCTTTCCTCTTTCGCCCTGCCCTACTTTTCCAAAGGTTGTCATGCTGCACAACCTCATTCTGTGTAGGGTAGGGGGTTTTGTCGGTGTGGTGTGCTGCTGCAGGCACTAACGTTTGGACTTCCCCTGTTGTTCCGGTTGTTTCTCTGCCAGTGCAGGCTGTCGCGGTGCATGTGCCCGGTGTAGGGCCAAACCCCGGTTAACTTTTGAGCCTTTGTCGACCCCACTGCGGGTCCCAGTTGGCTCGGCCCGCCCACGCTCACGCTCAGGGCGCGGGCCGTTTGTCCCAGGGTCACCCCCACCTAGTGCTTTGTTATGGATAGGGGTGGGCCGTCGAGCGAGAGAGCTTGACATTGGGGATGTAGCTCAGCCCTCGCGCCGAGTGGTAGTCTCACTGGTCATTCCGCAAGCGCTGATTTTCTGATTCTTGGTTGTGTTCTTCAAGCAAATGCTCCTTCCAATACGCAGACAGTCTATGGATTCTTTGAGAGTTCCTCTTCTTTTGTGCGTAGGCTAAGCGTCATCCTTACGCCACTCACCATTTCCCTAAACACAACAGCCCTATGGCATCATCGGGGTGCGGCGACGCCGTTTTCCCCCTCGCCTCTATGCATTCTTAGTGTCTCACACATTCCATCCATCGTCATTGGTGCAAGCCCCTTAGTCCTTTTGGGGCCTTCATATGCATACACACGCTATTTCACATTCCGATCAGCCAAAGTTCCACTCCTTTTTTTCATTCACACTCCAGATCTCGAACACAAGGGTCTCTTTCATGGGTAGATTTTACACCAGGGGCTCCTTAGCCCCTTTGCCCCCTCCTACCTCTTCCTTTGCCACCCGGTTTCTCCCGCAAGAGGTTCTATACAGGGGGAGTTATAAGGAATAGTGATAAACAGAGGCCATAGACTGTCCTTCGTGCATGCTTCAACAAAAATTTACATGCTCAACCGCACGCATTGAGCTCAGAAGAAACGCTCTCATTGCCCTACACACGTTTCAGCCAAGAAGCGCACCTGACACTCATTCCGCTCAAGACATCCCAAGGCTTACTCACCTGCACAATCCCACACAAAGGCAAAAACTGATACAATCCCCCATTGGGGTCAACACACAACCCTTCTCGCATGCCTAACTTTCTTTTTTTTTCCTTTCTTTGATTTCCCTTCATTCTCCTTCCTTTGCTCAATCATTCCATCCTCTTCTCATAGTCATGCAGTCAGGGAAATGGTTGAGTCAACTGACCTTGCATCACGCTCTCTCTTTCTCTCCTTTCAATTCTCAAGGGTGTAGCCCTCCCAATTTCTCAAGTGCTTCTTCCTTTCCTTCTTGGTGGCACAAGGGACCGGCAACCCCTCCCTTGCCCACTCCCTCCACCAAGTGAGGACTGATTTCTTTCACCCTTTGTTCCCTGGCAATGTAACAAGTGAGCGGAGGAGGGTTAGTCACATGCCAAGAGAAAGGAGGAGGGAAGGGTAAGGCGAAGGTTTTCGGGATGCAAAAAAAAGAGCGGAGATGGAAGAAGGAAGGCGGCGGTGAAAAAGAAGAAGAGGAGGAGAAAAGAGGGAGAAGGAGGAAGAGAGGAGGAAGAAAGAGCGAAGAAGAAGAGATAGAAAAGGGAAGAAAAGACTTCCTACACCTAATCAAACTTAACCCCCTACTTGTCCTACCGTCCTACCTAAAAACCCTTTGCCGTTTGGTGCTTCGTCGGCCACAATCCGTGGTTGGTGAAGAAGATGGAGGAGGAAGAAGATATGAGGTGGTTGGATATGGTGGATGGGTGAAGAAGATGGTAGAGGAAGAAGGTGTGAGGTGGTTGGCTACGTTAGATGGGTGAAGAAAATGGAGGAGGAAGAAGGTGTGAGGTGGTTGGCTATGGTGGATGGGTGAAGAAGATGGAGGAGGAACAAGGTGTGAGGCGGTTGGCTATGGTGGATCGGTGGAGAAGGTGGAGGAGGAGGAAGGTGCGAAGTGGTTGGTTATGGTGGACGGATGGGGAAGATGGAGGAGGAAGAGGGTGTGAGGTGGTTGGCTAGAGTGAATGGGTGAAGAAGATGAAGGAGGAAGAAGGTATGCGGTGGTTGACTATGGTGGATGGGTGAAAAAGGAGGAGGAGGAAGAAGGTGTGAGGTGGTTGGCTATGGTGGACGGGTGAAGATGGTGGAGGAGGAAGAACGTGTGAGTTGTTTGGCTATGGTGGATGAGTGAAGAAGACGGAAGAGGAAGAAGGTGTGAGGTGGTTGGCTATCGTGGGTCGGTGAAGAAGATGGAGGAGATAGGGACAATGCAAAGAAGATGGTGGACGACGAACCCCTAGATCATGCCAAACGGTCAGCGGTTGTGGACCAGGCCTTTAGCCTAGGAAGCAGCAGTAGCCAAGCACTCAGTCACCGGCTTTGCAGCAATCAAGTAGCAATCAAGCAACAATCAAGCGCCAGGTACCCATCGCATAGTTGCATTAGCCAAGCACCGGTCACCCATCTCACAACAGTAGCAGCCAAGCATCGGTCACCCATCCCACAACAGTAGCGGTCAAGCGATGGTCACCCATCCCACAACAGTAGCAATCAAACGTTGGTCATTAATCCCTCATCAATTGCTGCAAGCAAGGTTGTCACGCGGGGATCCTCGGGGCTCAAGCCGGGGTGGGAGTTTTACCCCCGGACCCCCGGCAGCGGGGACAACCGACCCCCGCACCCCGTCATCCACCCCCGCGCTTGCCCCAACCCCGGCAACCCCGC